GCACCAGTCAGTTGCCGCGAAGGAGGGTTGGATTGACGTGTTCATGGGTATATGTCGTCAAAACGGAGAATAAAGTAAATGGGAGTAGGTTGGCATTGAGGAATCAAACCGAAGAAATAAATGTAAAAGTATATCTGGTAACCGGGCAACGTGACGTTTTGGCCCTGCGAAAGCTGGTCTGTACCTGACTTCTGAGGCTCACGGCACCCCCTGCTGCCATTATACATCGCGATAAAATCCGATTCCAGAACAAAAACCGACGAATACCTGACCGTAGAGTCTGGCTGCCATTCGAATACGAGGACTGGAATGCCAAGGGCAAATTCGGGTATCACAGTGGGATCAGGAGGAGTAATAATTCTAACATATCCCGAGCTGATTTCCTCTCCCGTCCTGCTGGATCTGATCGGGGCTGTGAAACCAGAGACCGGTGTACCCCCGCGGGTTGTAAGAACAGCACCGCAGGTTGGTGGCAGAGGCGGCATAGGGGGCGGCGGTGGCGGCTTCGGAGGCAGGGGCTGGGCTGGGCAGGGGCAGTAGGAGATGGCGAACTTTGTGTAGCCTCAGGACGTGGGGGAGTCGGTACAGATGGTGTTGGTGGCGTCATTGGCCTGCACCCAGTCAGCAGCTGCCCAACCGATTGTAGCATTCGTTGGATCGAGAATCGCTGTGAACCAGTAGAATGTGGTAGGGGGCCCGCAGGGCTGGACCAAGCTTGAGTAGCCCGGGGGAGCACCTTCAAAAATGGGGAAAAAGAGTTGGTCACCAATGCGGGTGAAGGCGACGTTATATTTTAAGGTCTCTCTGAAGTCAGTCAGGTTGGCCGGCGCAGTGCAGCCCGGGAGCCCGTTATACTTTGCATTGAAGTCGGCCTCGGAAAGAATGCCATAGGAGAGATAATAGCTGGGCAAGCTATACTCCCAACGGACCACAATGTTCGGAGTGCCATCGAGGTGGTAGCCGAAGCCCATTGCCTGATCAGATGGCAGATCAAAGACTTGCAATATGTATCCGGTGCTGACCTCCTCGCCCGTGTCAGCGGACTTGACGGGAGTTCGAATTGCGCTGACGGGGACACCTTCCCGGTAGAGGACGGTCGTAGGGCCACACGAGGCCAGGGGTGGCATAGGGGGAGGGGGGGGGGTTGGGGGGGCCGGGGCGGTGATGGAGGGGCCAATGGTGTGGCCAACTGCACATTCAACAGTAGCAGCAGCAGCAGCATCGGCAGCCGTAGCAGCAAGGTTTTTGCAATGGCCGGCGAGTAGTTGAGCATCTGGGAATGGTGTGAGCTGCCGCAGTTGCATGATGATTGCTTCGGAGCTGCTGGGCCGGCCATGGTAGTCTCGAACACAGCGGCTAACATACAATGGCTAGATAGCTGCCAATAAGGCTGATAGATGCTGTGATGCCGATAGCTGACCGCAGATGTTATGGATTGATTGGCTGGTAGCTGCCGAGGAGGTGCTGCTGTTGCAGTCCTTGTCCACTGTCACACATACACAGCTCGTAGAAGATCATAGTAATTGCTTAAAGTGTGGCTCAAGATTGCTGCTGGGTGCGCGTAATATGCTTGAAGTCGTGTACCCCGCTGCTGTATGCCCTGCTAGGGCTAGTAGCCGGGCGCACTTGGCAAATCCACCCACAGCAAGCTATGCAAGTAGCCCAGACAGATTGCTGTGTATGCCTGGTTCATCATCAGGAAAAGACCGCGGACCGGCAGGGGACGGACTCTTGAATCCTTTAAGCCTGCTGTTAAGCTCTAGGCTCTGTTGCCTAACTGTCAGTTATCGGTCCGTCCAGTTCTAAAACTAGTGTTAGTTATTAACATCAGTACTGCTGTTACTAAATATTAACTGCTTATATTCGCTGTCGGTGATTACAGTGCTAAATACTACTTATATTAGTTACTGGCGGCTTGCGATTACCGTCAGTCAAGTTCGCCATTCAAATGCCGCACTAGTATACCTGAGGCATTCCTCAGGGCAACCCGTGGTGTATGTGATGACAAGTCCATCACCAGAAGGCTAGGCGCCGAGGAGGAGGAGAAAATGGCTGCACAAGGTCAATGGAGCTGTCCAAGCAAAGTACCTACCTAGAGGCTACTGTAACATGGCTAGGCCAAACCTCGCACGAGCCTTAAAATGGTGACCTCTACGAGGGGTGCGGAATCCCCCAGCGGGTGAAGCGGGTCGTAGGGGGCTAACTACCCTCCGCCAGGACAAAGCGCAGGGTGCTGTGTAGAGTGCAGTAGTGGAAGGGTTGTGAGGCGGTGCGACATGCACGTGGCCTGAAGTTGTAACAGGAGCACCAGACTTCGGCAGGTTGCGATAACTGGTCGTGTTCCACAGCGACAGTGTGGCGTCCTCACCAACGATAGGTGGAACTCTAGGGTGGAAAAAGGGCTCGTAGAGGCGACGCGGTGGGAATATAGCATATAGGACTGACTAGGTGCAGACCTCAGAGCGTTCCCCCCTTAACACACGCCAGGTTGAGCGGACACCGGTGTAACAATAATAACAATAATAATAAAAATAAAACACTACATTAGTTATCATGCTTGTGTGCAGCAGCTGCAGCATCGGACTGCAACCCTTGATGCCGGTGAATAGCTAGCGTACATGTCAGAATAACTTAGAAGCAGGTAACAAAGTTCTGTGACGATGAGTACAGAGTAATGGTGTGGCCGCCGGCAATGTGGACCTGGTCACCCAGCCCGAGCAGCTTGAAAAGGTTGGTCTGCTCCTGTGCCTCCCAATCACATTGGAAGATTTCATTGTCACCATCATCAGTGAGAGAGCCTTGTTGGCTTAGATGCGACCCGGAGCCTCTAAGGCTGGTTCTGTGGTACTGTCGTACAACTGGGTCGCAGTGGTGACTTAAACCTTGCTGCTCTCCTGGTGAAGTCATTCTGCCTTCACAAAGAAGAGCATACAGCCTTGTCCAACTAGTCAGCGTGACAGGTGTACTTGAAGCCTTACCAATTCAAGTTCCGATCCACATTTGTTCAAGTTTTCTACGTTTTCCGATGTTAATTTCTTCCAATGTCAACTATTAATGACAATGCACCATCGACAGAGAACGTCGCCAATGTTCCAGGCCTAGGGGTGGCGGCCAGCGTGGAGGTCATGACTACGGTGGAAATCGCAATGCAGAGCGCTATGATCACAGTGATCAATGGCAATGGCCACCGCAGTGGCAACTAGTGAATTTCAGGTGTTAGCACTGTAAAGTGGGCCTGCAGGCCCTGCTCTTTCTTCCAGGCCCGTGTGCCGCTTCAATTCCTTGAGGACCAACGCCGGTCAGCGCAGCGTGCGCAGGAGTAATCTTTTTTGGTTGTGATGAAGTTGCCAGCGAGCATCGAGTTGGGCACCCGCAAGTGCAATCGAGGCGCCCGCATGCGGAGGAGTAATCTTTTCTGGTCGTGCGGGCCCACAAGTGCAATTGAGGCGCCCGCGTGCACAGGAGTAACCTTTTTCTGGTCGTGATGAAGTTGCCAGCGAGCATCGAGTTGGGCACCCGCGAGTGCAATTGAGGCGCCCGTGTGCGCAGCTGTTAGTGCCTGTGCGTGCAGATGTGAGCATCATTGATTGCCTTCTTTTTATTCACGGTGTCTTCCTCTCCCGCTTTTCTTCTATCGCGTTTCTTGTCTTGAGTTTGTGAACAGACCATCATACGGGTTCACTCTGTGGCAGTGTTTGCTGTAATCCTTTGGATAATTCGCGTCAAGCCAAGCGGTCCAATTAAGTCGCCTTGGCAGCCGGCCGGCTGGGGGACCCGCTTTTTGCCTGTCATACTTCTTTAAGCGCTGCTCTACTTCCTCGCCTCGCCCGTGTCTCTCGCAGGCCTTCATCACCGCCAGTGAATTCCGTCTAAGGAACCATGGATTCATTCTCTCATGACAACACTATCGCCTTCCTGTCAGAGCTAGGGGTAGAGGCCCTCTCACGTTTGGGCCTTGCGGAAGATGCCCAGCTGTCTGTCAGTCACAACGCCAGCCAATTCAAAGGGCAGCACCTTTTAGGTCAGCCCACCTGCTGCAGCCCCCGACGACATGCCAGCCCCCAAACGGCCCGCACCGGGTCCTGCCCCTGCCCGTCGGCCAAACCTGGAACCCGCATCAGTCCTGGCAAGTCTGGCCACGCATCGGAAACAACCAGCCCGTCCCGTGGTGGCACCAGAAGGTGCAAAGGTTGAGGCCCCGGGTGACTTCTGGAAGGTTAAAGGGGAGTTTTTTCTAGTGCTACTTCCGACAACACCTTGGGAGTTCGGTCGTTACCAGCACCAGGTCAGCCTTTCCATGCCGCCCCAGATGAGAGGACACCTCTCCGGCAAAGAAGAGCGCTTGGAAGGCTTGGGTTGTGAACATGCTGGTCATCTCATGGATCACGTCGGGCTTCCCACTCTGTTGGGTCTCCAGCCCTCCCCCCCAGCACTCAGGCCGCAATCACACTTCAGCAACCACCAACACCGTGTTCGTTGGCTTTGTCAACGAACACAGAACTGGTGGTGTCGGGCACAGCCCGTGTATGGCCGACACAGCCTTGTGTGGTTTGCCTGTTGGGGGTCGTGCATCAGGCAACTAAGCTCCGGCTCATTTGGGATGGCAGGCCGGTAAACGATTACTTGCATGTCCCCTCCTTCTGCTATGAAGACTTGAAGGCGGTTCCTGGTTGGCTACTCCCAGACGATTACCTATTTACTTTGGACCTCAAAATCGGCTACCATCACCTTGACATTGATCCAAGGTTCTGGGAATATCTCGTCTTCTATGTCTTCACACAACTGCCTTTTGGCCTCGCTTCCGCTTGCTGGGTGTTCACGAAGCTTAAGCTCATGTGAGAAGTCATGCACCCCTGGTGCAAACGTGGCTGGCAATGCTCAGGCTACATAGATGATCAGGTCCATGCAGACCAGAATCCTGATAACTTGGTATGGTGCAGGGCCGAAGTGGTTGCTCAGTTGGAGACGCTCGGTTTCCTGGTTAATAAAGAGAAATCTATGCTGGGGGCCGTGCATCATCGCATTAGATACTTGGGCATGCTTATCAATACCAAGGATGGTGCTTTCATCGTGCCAGGCGACAAGTGGGACCGCCTCCTATCCATGATCAATCGCATGCTCACAGTGCGGTGCTCGACCGCCCGCCTATTGGTGTCCATAAAAGGCCAAATACTGTCCATGTCTTGGGCCCTCGGACCTTGGGCCCGGCTGCACACCCGAGCTCTCGGTCAACTTGTTGAAACTCGCCAGACTTGGGAAACCTGCTGCCCAGTCATACTGGGGATTCTTATCGGTGCAAGGCCCAAGTAGAGTCACTGATGACTACTTAATCAAGACACTTGTCTCAATTGGTATCTTTCGATGCCCCCATTATGTGGTTGTGTCGTCTGAAGCCTACAACACAAAGGCACTACTGCTGCAATGGATTTAGGCAAGAAACGAATGGCACTACTTACATGGCTTAAGGTATCCTTGTGCTTCACGGTTTAGCATATGAAACACAACTGTGTTTGAAAAGCAGTTCAACCCCAATACCTCCCTACAGTTACCAGCAGGCCCACAAGGTTGAATGATCTGCATCCTGTCTCACATGACTGCCAACATGACGTGCTGTACCTAAAGTAGGCCATGCACCCCGAGCTTAAGATAGAAGAAAAGATGTCAATGTTAAGTCCCAGGTCTAGACCTAGGACTTAACAATACTAAGACATCAATGTTAAGTCCTAGGTCTAGATCAAGGACTGAACAATACTAAGAAAATGGGAACCAGCCCTGTAAGCATTCTCTCACTCTGCCATCCCCATACATACCCCACACATGCTGCAGCCCTGCTTGGATACCCTCCCTCCATACCCACTGACCTGCTCCATCCATACAACCCGACGTTCTGCATGCAAACCCCACCTTTATGCCTGTGGTATATACAACAAAGCAACTGCTGGTCCACAACGTTGTGCCCTCCCTCGCCCTCTCCTGCTCTCCTCTGCCATCCCTTGCTCGCCTATGCTTTCTTCTACTCTCCTCTGTCCTGCTCTGCCCTTCTTTGCTCTCTCCTGCCTTCCTCTGCCGTCCCTTGCCCTCACTTGCACTCTCCTGCTCTCCTCGACCATCCCTTGCTCTCCTATGCTGTCCACTGCCTTCCCTTGCCCTCTGGTGCTCCCTTCTGCCATCCCTTGCTTTCCTCTGCCCTCCTCTGCTGTATACACAACCAAGCAACTGCTGGCATATCACCGGAACCGATTGCTGAAGTCCTCACCAAACAGAACAATCTGTGAGGGTTCATTCTTCTGCTTCTCCTCAGTGACATACCAATGTATGCACAGGGCGGGGTGCTTGTCGATGCCCCAGCCTCCCGCATGAATGGTGTGTCCAGACATGAAAAGGATGTCCCCCAGATCGAGGTTGATCCGCACTGCCTTAAAGCTGCCACCATTGCTGGAGAGGCACGCCTTGAAAGTGGCCTCCCCAATCTTGTCCATTTTCAGCAGCTGCTGCAGCCGCCAGTACTCCTGCAGCTGCTTGTGGCTGCCAGGGAAGACGAGCAGCGAACATTTCTGCACAGCTGCAATCACTACGAAACCAGTCTGGCCCTCACTTAGGTGAGTGTGCCAGCATTGGCGGCTAACAGGCTTCTGGCATGCAGCCTGTCTGTTAATGAGGATGGCAGGTGAACTGTGGTGCAAGGTGTGACTCTCCATTGCAAGCTGCACTGTGACCATCTCCACCTCAACCAAAACTGTATGGGGTAAAACAGTAGGGGCAGGTAGGGACAGAGATGGCGGGTAGGGACAGAGATGTTAATGCAGCAGTGCACTAGTGGAGCACTTGGCCGCTGAAAAGGCCTCTCGAGATGCTGGTGGTCACGCTACATGTGTATTTATAGTGCCGTACTGTATACCAGCTGTGCTACATTCTCCCCCCCTTTGAAGGGGTCCGTCCTGGCCCTTAGAGCCTCGTATACCACCAGCCTGTGCCTACCTTCGCCTACCCTCAGGCAGTGGGTGCCCAATCCACATCAGCTATGTTTATAATTTGTGTGATGTTCAGTCACTGAGTCGCCAAACCCAAATTCCACTCAAGTGTGATTGGTGGGAGTTGAACCAACGAACTTCAGGATCATGAATTTTCATGAGGTCTTGATACCAAATGTAGCAGCTGGCTGCTGAAAAGGCCTCTCTAGATGCTAGTGGTTGCGCTACACACATATTTATAGTGCCGTACTGTGTACCGGCTGCTACAAGCACAGGCATTACAATATTGGTATGGTTGTGAAAGCACATCACTAACCAAGAATGATTGCATGTGTACATCCACAAATAATTAAAATAATTATTAACTTAATCCAATAGCTCTGTGCTAGATTGAACAGCAGGAACTTACCACGAAACACTTTCAGCATTTCTTCATGGTCATCACTGTTAATGATGACCTGCCTCCACTGCCGGGTCCCATAATCTGACATTCCCTCCTTCCTACCATTCTCGTCACGCTCCGGGATGAAGTTGCCCTCCTCATCTAGTGGGATGTCCTGGAAGATGGCAGTGGCATTCTGCTGTGCGAAGAGGATAGCCATCTCCACCTCTTGTGGTTTCACGTTGTCCTTGAGATAGTGCAAGTGCAGGATGGCGAGTCCGCGCTCTGCCAACGCAGCTGGTACATCATCAGCTGTGTCAACACTGTAAGCAGTGTTCTCAATAGTGACATACTGCATTATTGGGACACACAGCCAGGCATGTACATAGGATTACATGCTGCATATCATTCATTGCAGTTTATTAGGCAGTGGGCCACATGATAATGGTCAATAGAGTTGCCTGTTCTGTTAAGTCATTCCAGGTGGATGGGGGCTGTACTGTAAGGAGCCTGTCCACAGTAGGCTGCAAGGTACATATACAGATAAAAGTAGTATAAGGACTAGCTATCCACCACAAAACTGGCACCCACCTCATCTTCATTGCTGTCATCTTCCATGCTGTCATCTCCCATCCTGCCCACTTTCTCAGCAGCGTCCAGTACGGTCTCAGCAGCCTCCAGTTTGCGCTTCTTGCTCTTGTTGACGCCAACTGGCCCCGCCAACTCAGCAGCTAGTGCAGGGAACAAGTCCTGCAGATATGACAGTAGTATTAATACATTCTTATCAATATTGATAAGCGGCTGAACTGTAAACACTAGGGCATTCTGTAGTATCCTGGCTATCATGGGATCTGACATCTGCTCATTTGTTTTTTTGGGCGGGGCCCCAGCTGGGGCACTGCAGCGCGAAGCGCCCAGGGGGGCCCCGACCTGTAGAATTGCCCATGTCCATGTGTGTGTGTATGTGTCTGTCCATGTGTGTGTAACGGACCAAACATAATATCTCGCCCGGCTGAAACATGTTACAGGTACTATATAGCATTCTCTATCGCAAGGTATCTCACCTGTAGCCAACAAAAATCGTATGAGCACAAACAATTTTGGCTGCCTCAATTGACCGAGGCCAAAGTCACATCAACACCTCTCGGTACCACGTATCTCATATTTGAATTCTTAGATGACGGCGTATGATAACTCGAACTCCCAGGCCTTGAGTGTGTAACAGACCAAACATAATATTTCACCCGGCTGAAACATGTTATCGGTACTATATAGCTTCTCTATTGCAAGGTACCTCACACATAGCTAACAAAGATCGTATGAGCACAAACAACTTTGGCTGCCTCCATTGACCGAGCTCATAGTCACATCAACGCATCTCGGGCTAAATTTCATCTCAAAAAGGTGCTGTGTATCTCATCATTGATATCCGAGATGACAGCGTATGATAACTTGAACACCCAGCTTGTGTTACCATTTGCCCGCACAGGCATTCCGACTTGCCACCAGCAGGCCGACAAATTTGCTTCATTTCTCTATGAAATACGCAAGCTGCTCATTTGTACATTTACTTTAGCCAATGCTCGGGGCCTCCGGAGACTTGCATGGGGTGGAGTGCTGAGGCTGCTGGCGCTTCGGGGATAAACATCACAGACAGCACCGAAATTCACCCAGCTTTCGTTACCATTTGCCTGCACGGGCATTCCGACTTGCCGTCTGCCTCACTGTCCATGCGGCATGCACCCGGGATGGATGCAATTCGTGTAGAGCCCGCAGGCGGTGCTGATGATTCCACCGGTGCAAGCTTAGCTCTCACACCATCAGCACTGCTGCAACAAAGCACATCTCCCACTGTGTTGACACTACCCATCAATTGTCACACGTGCCGCGCTAGCTACCGGCCTGTACAGATGCAGGGGGGGCCCGCCCTTTTTCCGGCTTTGAGGAAGCCCACACCCGACTTGTCTGAAATTGACATTACACAACACGTTGGTATCGAGACCTGGAATCCCAGCTCCGACCTGGGTTCGAGTCTCTGATGAAGCGGTCTACTGCCACTGGTTCTGCTGTGGATGCTGACATCTCACAGGTACCCTTAGTCAAACTGATGAGGACAACCTAATGATGCATCATTAGGTTGCACTCATCGATGAGTGGGGGTAATTGTGGTATCCTGGGTATCACGGGATCTGACATTGCTGGATCGGTTCTTTTCTAAAAAAGACGTGATACAACACCATCCTTCATATCCTCAAAAGTGTCAAACATCTTGGATGCATGCATGGGATCACCCACCTTCCCTTTTGGGGGACGGCATCCATCCTTGCCCTCAATGGACATTTCCGGAGTGTGGCAACCAATCAGTTACCTGATGTTTGCCCGAGCATACAACCCCAACAAAAACTCCCAAACCCTCCATCTCAGGCCCCTCAAACCCCAAACCCTCAAAACCCAAGAATCTTCAGATAAGGAAGCCCATGTTGCACACAGCAGCCCCCTCCATACCTCACTTGGAGTGTCATCCACTGGATTGAATACCTCCCCCTCTGCCAGGCCGGCATTAGCAGCTGCCACTGCAGCTCCTCCAGTTCCCAGGCTTGCTGATTGGCACCACGTCCCCATGTTCTGCCAGGCAGACATGCACATGAGTAGACAAGTTAGCAGTGTGGTGTACCATGAGGTCCCTCATGGTAGGGTTGTTGAATTTTAAGGCTTTAAGCCCATGTTGGCCCAATACAAAATCCAAGCATCATGGCATAAACTTATTGGATGAATGCATGGGACCACCTACCTTCCACTTTGGGCCATGGCAAACATCCTTGCCCTCCAGAGTCTCACTGCTGTCTACAGCAGCAGTAGTAACAGCACCCATGGGCACAGCTGCTGGCATGGCTGCAGTATGTGGCTGGTTACTGGCAGCAACACGGACGTTTACTGCCCCAGTAGAGATGAGTAGAGCCGGTGCTGTAGCTGCTGCTGTCTGTTGCTGACTTTGAAGGTCCACCAGCTGTTTTAGCTCACCAGCAGACTTGGCCATGTTGTCCTTCTCCTTCATGAGCCTCTGTCAGCATGGAATATGGGTGGCATTTGCACTGTGACTCACTTGTACATAACAATCTCTGCATTAAATAATTGTGGACAGCCCTAGCTTGGCTGCTGGCCCCTGGCCAGGGGCCCATGGGCCTTCAGGTCACATGGGCCCATTACACCTTCAGAGCGTAATGCAACTTGTTAAGATGTATAGCACACGCACACATGCGTGTGTAAGTGTACACTTTACATACGAAATACTCCGACATGATTCTTTGACAAAGCCCATTAGGCACGGGTATGTAGTGTCAGATATTAAGTAAAACATGACACAAGCAAATGTCCTACGTTCATGTCCTACCTTCAGCTCATCTACCCATGGGCGCTGGGGCCAGAAGTACTTGGCTCCGTATTTGTAACCGATTTGGCCAGGCAGAGGCTTGGGTGCCTTCTCCAGTTCAGCTTTGACCATCCCGATCTTGGTGTCCAAGTCCATGCTGTTGTAAGATGAGCCACACGTCCGCAGCACATGCTCCTTTGCCCCCTGAATCAGGTAGTCCTTGAAGATATGCTTCTTCACCACAGACCCCAGTGCCCGTGAAAGGCAAAATGGCTCAGAACCCTGAGTGAGGGTGGGCCAACAGGGAAGATGGTAGCATCATAAAGTTTGTAGGCACTTTAAACTTACTGGCTGAAACCCGGCCCAAACCTAACAACCCAACACACAGCAGGCAGGGGCACACCCTTATACTCTACATACAGGATGGGCCCCCTAAATCGTTTGAGTGCAGCAGCTGCAGGGTGCATGTACAGGACACAGGTTATTTGTGTTGGGGCCCTCGCTGCCATGCAAACGGAAGGAAGCTGATCATCGAGGAAAGGTTGGGTGATGCAGTTGCTGACCTCCTTTTTGTAGGTGATGTCCCAGATGTGAACCGCCTTGGAGGACACAGGCGCCTCAGCCGTCAGGTCCTTGTACTGTAATTGTTCACCATTGGGATGAAGAGCAATACAGTGGGCGTATTTCCAGCTTAGATACTTGACGTTGAGTTGCGCCGACCTGGCCTCTTGAATACAGTCATAAAGGTGCCCTAAGACTTCTCCGCTGGACATATTGTGACAATGATTTAAACTGTATGGATTTGTACTCAAGGATTAAAAACGGCTGGTATGATTTACCGAATGCTGGCGGCGTTGAGCGGCAATGAGCGCATTGTTACAGCTGACGACAAATTATGAGGTAGTCTATTTGATACAAACTAGTACGCAATTAATTTTCAGTCTTAAATGTTTGGTACCATGTGGGCTGTAGTAAGGGTGTACGAAAACGCTTCCAGGGCTATTTGTACGTTTGCTCCTTTGTTCCTCATTCGAGGAGTGGGGCATCTCGTTTCATTTGTGTATCATATGAGTGGGTGGCGGTAAGGATGTACGGTGCGACTACCATCGCGACCATATGGTCGCAATGAAGAAACTTACTGGCATTCAATGCCAAATTGTAATTCATATGCAGCTCTCCTACAAATTAATATACATTTGCAGAATGGCGCCAGCATGATTTACCCACTCGGCGGTCGTTATGAATGTTACCTAACTCCACAATCAAATTTATGCCCTATCCTATAAATAATACTATGATGATTATTAAACTTTACTTTGTACTAGCATCACACCTGTGTTCGCATATTGGGCAGTTGGTCGCTCAACCGTGCACCGAAACCGTTTCAGTAGGTAAGTCCAAGTGATAAGCGACGTTCGGGAGGAACTGCGGTTGGCATTATCATCTGGCATGACGTATGATGGATGGGGAGCGAAAGTCCTGAAGATCCTTGAGTTGATGGGTCATAACGTGCGGACGGGTGTGGACGACTCAGGCGACATTGAGGTCAAAGTTGATGCTCTGGCGACACGTCCACTAGATGTAGGCCAGTTGATCTGTGAACTTCGGAACCGATTTGATGATGACTGGGAAAGTGAGCGGTTGACAGTGGATCCAGCTTTGTTTGTTTCAGATAATAGGCAACCAGGGGTAAAGATGTGCCGCTATAAGCATTGGATGGGTTTGCCCAAGCATGGCAGCGGCTATATCTCGCCAAAACAGCACGTCACGCTGATGCGTTTCAGGATGTGTGTTTGGCCTTTGGCGGTTAATCGACCGCACGGTAGGGAACGGTCTGCCCGGTGGTGCCGGGTCTGTGGGAACCGGCAAGCTGTTGAAGATGAATGTCATGTGCTGCTAGATTGTCCTGCGTATGCGAATATCCGTTTGAAGCTTTGGGACCTGGGGGTTACTCCTGGGGACCGCATGATCGAGATTATGGGCGTCAAGGATCAACGCGGGTTAGCGCGCGTCTTGGACGACATTAGAAGATGCAGGTTGCAGTACGTTGAAGATTAATCAATCTGTTATTGTTGGGTATTAGCATTTTTTTTTCTTTTTTGAGTTCCTGTTTCCAGTTTGGCGGTTCATGAGCCTTTTGGCTCGTCTGGACCGTACAAGCTTGAAGCTTGTAAACGTAAACGTAAACGTAAACGTAAACGTAAGCGACGCCGTTAATCCTATTCCTTGATTACGTACGGTCCGATAAAACGAGGAAGCAGTTTGCGCGGACCTTCAAGACGCATGTGTCGAGTGCTCAGCAACACGACATCCCCAAGCTTGAACTGACATTCCGAACGCTTGCGATCAGCTTGCGAAACGCTTCATACGATCCCGCTGTGCAGCCAAACAACGCTTAGCACGCGCAAGCGCATGTCAGATGCAAAACGTACGGAAACGACGCTGTGAAGCGCACGCGCCTTCTGCCCCCCTACTTGGCGGTCAGGGGCTCAAAGCCGTACATCAGACGAAACGGAGAAGTACCGGTAGAGGAATGCACCCAGTTGTTCATGGCAATGGATCGGCAACATAATGGCGCAACGTATCCTGAGGGTACGATTGACACGTTCAGTTTGACCATCAGTTTCCGGATGATAGGCAGAACTGAAGTGAAGGTCGATAGACATATCCTCACAAAGGTGTGTGAAGAAAGCCGAACGAAAACAACCACACATAAGGATCGCGGGAGCACTATACCGACGAACAACGGTATCAACGAAAAGCTTGGCAGAATCCGCCAAAGTGATTTCCTTGCGAGAGCCATTTTGGTCCATTCATGGCCAAAGTAGAGGACACAAGCAAGTCATGGCCAGGTCTGTGGGCTCGTGGCGACATGAACACCCAGCTTAAAAGGATAAAAGCCCAGCCCAGGCCAGTTAAGAGGTTGCCTTTACAAGCGTCTGAAGTCCGCCTCCTAAAGTGTTTTTTTTCTAATTACCTATATCTCCCTCACTCGCTCGCATGCTCGCTCGCTCTGTGACACAAGGAAAGAACATGTAACTATTCCCGTTGGTACGGTACCAAGGATAGAAACCAACATCCAAGGAGACGCTTCTGTAAAACCCTTAGATACGTCCAACACTCCAAGTAATCCCCAAAAGCGACGTCACCACCACCAAGACGTCACCACCACCAAGAGCACGTACAGCATGTACGGCATATTGACACCGTCAAGAGAGCATGCACCCAGGTATATTGACATACATACAGGCCGCACGAGCAACTCCCCTCTATCCTCCTCCTCCTCCTCTTTTCTCCACCTAACCCCCCGATATCGAAAGCAACTCCGCCCGGGGGAAAGCTGCATCTGCCGCCCCCTGGGGCCCCTGGGGCCGCCGCAGCGCTGTTGCTACGGCCGATGAGCCGGATGCCCCCTCCCCCTCCTCCTCCTCCTCCTCCTCCCCCTCGTTCTTCTTCCGCTCGATTCCCCTCCCCTTCACCACATCCCCAACGCTGTACCACTGTACCAGCTACAGCAGCCGGGCCCCCACAGCAAGTGCCCCTACAGCCGAGACGTGGGGGACACCGCCGCCGCCGCCGCCGCCACCGCCGCTGTCGCTGCTGCTGCTGACGGCAGCGGCGGTTGCGCCTGCGCCATCATCCTCACCACCACCTTGCCCACACTGCGGCCGCTGTGGAGGTGCTCAACAGCGTCGAATACCGACTCGACCCCCATAAAGACCCGTGGGTCAATTGCCACCTTGAGACGACCCGCCTCCCACATCGCCACCAGCCGGGCTAGGTGCGACTTAAACAGCGGCGCGTACCTGCCGGGTGGTGGTGGTGGTGGTGGTGGTGGTGGTGGTGGTGGTGGTGGTCGTGATAATGGTGATGGTGTTGTGTACATGTGCAGTGGGGAGGAGAGGGACGAAAAAGGGGAAATGGCGACGGGGGGTATTCCCCGTATAGAAAGGAATTAGGAGGCGTTGGCGGTTAGCGGTTGATAAATACTGTTGCGGTTATTCCTGGAATTGATTGTGGTTGCGGCCATTGTTGTGGTGGAGTTAATTTTGGAAAAAAGCCGCATACGTGGGCGTTACACGGTACATACATATATACGTACACCTACCGGACATCCCGTATACTCACCGCAGGAGGAAGAAGCCCACAGCTGCGGCGCTCTTCCACAGCAGCTTTTCCGCAAGGCCCGGGTACGACCCAGGCGCCCAACCGCTTCCGTACGATGACATCATCCCTATGATGATGACCCGGCCACGTGGCGCTAACGCGTCCACTGCCGTACTGAACATCTCACCGCCGACGCTCTCATACACGACATCCACCCCCGAGGGGAACTCGCGCTTCAAAACGTCCTGAACAACACCCGCAGGAGACGGCGCGTGTGTGTGTTTTGTGTGTATTGCAAACATTCCGGTCTTCCCCCCCCACCACCACAATCACTCCCCCACGTGTTTCGGTCCACATTCCGACATCACCACACGCCATTACGTAAGATACATGTGCGCACAGACGTATGCAGACGTATACACATAGCGCTGTCCGACCGCGGCGAAATTGCGTTTCCAAATCCTACACCATCCCTTTTCCCTTTTTTCTCCCCAACGAGGACGGGAAGGTGGCCTCCCTCCCCCCAACCCAACTCGCTCCTCCACCTCCACGCCACCCACCTTGACCGATTCCTTCGTGTAATCGATGACTCTGTCCACACCCAGCTCCTGTTCGGGATCACGCAACAAACAATGATGGTACGGCAGCGTTCAACTTTTAAAAGGATAACACTTACATACATAAGTGCAAGTGTCTTATATAGCTAGTGGTCCAAGGAAAAAGCGAGAAGCCGCGTGGCGGCACAGCAATCATCAAAGCGGCATGCATGAGCAGCAGCAGCAGCAGCGGTGCGGCGGAGCACCGCACACACACACACACCGCGCTTTGCTGCATACGCATCGTGTCCTGCTGATCGCGCGGCCCTGCCTGGCTGCCTGCCTGCCTGCTGCTGCTGCATCACCAGCCTCTCCCCCACCCCAGCCTTTACTTCTTTGGAGCATCACTCTTCCCTTGGCATCACCACCTTCACTCGCTCGTGGTTCGTCTCCCCCACCCCACCCCACCCCACCCCACCACCCTAGGCCCCATCTCGTCGCACCCGCAGCAGTTGGGCCTTATCCGGACCGCCGCACGTGGCCACCACTCGGCAGCCCGCAGCCTTGGCCAGCTGTACGGCAAACTGACCTGTCGCACAAACACAGCCATCAGGCCATCAGCAACATGGTTTTATTGGGGGGTTCTCACGTCGTTATTGCTGCTTTGAGTTGGGGCCTTGTAGGGCCCGGGGGTCCCCTCCCCCACGTAGTACTGAACGCTCAACTTAGGGAGTGCGCATGCACCAGCGCTTGCGTGTGTGTGTCTGTGTGCATGTATGTGTATGTGTACGTGTATGTGCTGTCAGCAAAATGAAACCTGCCATCTGGAGATTACCCCCGCCAGTACGGCACTCTACCCCCCCCCCCGCCGGCACCCGCCTGTTCCCCCCGCCGCGGCAGTGACCAGCACCACCTCGCCGGCACGGATGCGGCCGGCCTCCTCGAGCGCAATGGAGGCCGTCAGGCCGCTAGGGGACGGGCAGTGGGGGGCCCGGGGAGAACAGGAGCGAGCAGAACATGGGAAAGGGGGGGACACCCCGCCTCGGGGGAGGGGGGAGGGAGGGGGTTAGCTATATCGGCTATATCGGCTATATCGGTTAAGGCCAGTGGGCAGCGGGGAGAGGAAAGGCACCTTCCCCCGACCACCACCACCTGGTGACGAGAGAGCGGGTACGACACGACGTGGCATGACGTGAACGATGGCTAACGAATGATGACTAATGAATGATCAACGGGTAGCGGTACGGCGCCCCGGCCATGTCGCATATCCTTCCGCTCCTTCAAGCACTGCTTTTATCGCTCTTTGGGGTCCTATCCGCCTAGGGGCCTACTTCCCGTCGTACGGCCTCTGGGGACATCTTGGGACGTTGATAACCAGTTCTCGCCCTCATGCCTCTGTTTTCCACAATCGGCTACCCCTACCCCCCCCC